ATCTAGTATCATTAACTCTGCCTAGAAAAGCATTACAATCTCATAATATCTGAGGTACACTCAACCACTGTAGTTGATTGTGTCTAATCCTATCAACCAGGAATTCAAGCTAGCCAGTGAAAGTGGACTGGCTTCAGTGACAGGATGCCATGCCATCCATGCCCACCCCGGCATGGACTGGCAGTGCACTGCACATGCAGAGAGGAAGGCTGAGCCTTGAGCATTGCCAGGACCAAGACGTGCGGGTGCCCTACTAGGGACTGGCTCTGCCCACCCCCACCTCCACCAAATGACATCACTGCTGGCCAGACAGTTTTGTCACTTGGCGGGGGCGGGAGGGGATAGAACCAGTCCGGTTCGGCCCGGAATCGAGTCCCCAGCCAATGCTCAAGGCTTCACCACCCTCTCGTGCACTGGCCACATGGCTTGCCACCCGCTGAGACTTGCTGCCCATGAAGGCACCTGCAAGCAGAAGAAAGACAAATATTGGTCCGTGGTCGAAAAGAGAAGGCTAAAAGCAGCATCAATCAAAGCAAATCGACAATCAAAATAAAGCCATGTGCATGAGAAAAGGAGCTCGAAGGTAGGGGCTGAAACTTATCTAAGGTTGAGGAGCTTGGATGTGGAGCGGTGCTTGAGCGTTGAGGTGCTTGAACAGGCCATGGCTTGCCACCCGCTGAGACTTGCCACCCATGAAGGCACCTGCAGGCAGAACTTGGACAAATATTAGTCCATGATAGAAAAGAGAAGGCAAAAAAGTAGCATGCATTAAAGCGAAACAATAAACACAATAAGGCCATGTGCAGGAGAAAAGAAGCTCGAAGGTAGGGGCTCAAACTTATCTGAAGAGATGTGCCCCTCGTCTTGAGATAAGTTAAAGGACGCTTGGAATGTGGAGCGGTGCTTGAGCGTTGAGACGCTTCAGGGCGGCTCAAGGACTTTGAATAAAACCTGCAAGGACATCAAAGCAACTAAGTTAGTAAACAGCAGTTGAAAAAACATGTAGAAACGGACAGTGCCATGGTGCAAGTGCCACAGAGCTTACCTATACCAACCAAAAAACCTTAGGGGAACCTATACCAACCTTAACCTTTACCAACCTCCAACTTGACCAAACCTGAACCTGAACTAGGGGGGAGGGGCTCTGTGGCGTGAAGAAAGTGTGGTTGATACATTCAACCTTCACCAGCCGTGAAGATGTTCCTCTGTTGTCCGCCATGAAGCATGGCAGGACGCCATAAGGTGTTGCTCCTCTGAAAAACTCAGAAAAACCGGCAAATAAAGAAATAAGCGAGAATTAGTAAGGTCGGACAGCAAAGCATGCAAAACGAAAAGAAGCGTGGAAAAAACGAGCCAAATACCAACAAAAAAAATTTAAGGGGGACCTTTACCACACCTCGACCTGTACCTAACCTCAACCGGGGGGTGGCTCTGGAGTTTGAAGGGTGAAACTGATACTTTTAACCTTCACCAGCCGTGGAGATGCTCCTCTGTTGTCCGCCATGAAGCATGGCAGGACGGCGAAGGATGTTGCTCCTCTTTAATCTTCGAAATTACGCCTCCCATCCTCCATTAAAACCTACGAGTGTAGAAAAAACATTAGTTAGTATACGGAAGTGAAGAAGGCATGCAACGGAAATAACGACTTTGCGAAGTGAAGAAACATGTGCTGACCCACCACAGAGCCAATACCAACCTGTACCGAAAAAAAAAACCTTTACCACACCTGTACCGAACCTTTACCAAACCTTAACCGGGGGGGAGGAGGCTCTGTGGTGAGTGGTGGTGCAAGGTGATACATTCGATCTTCACCGTCACAAGTCGGGGAGATCGATGTCGCTTTAGGCGCGTCGTAGCCAGCGTTGCGACGAGGTTGATGAAGAGATGCGGATCCACGGCGATCCGATGCTTACCGTGGCATCCTGCGCATGATAAAACAACGAGCACCATTGTCAGAATTGGAGTCGAAATAAACTGTAGGTCGCGTACATTAACAGAATGAGAACGCTGATACGAAAATGTGATAAGGATGGTCGTTGTACCTAACGTAAAAACGACGACAAGCGAAGTTGACTCGCTATGTTGCAGAAACTCCGACGGTGGAGGTTATGAAGCTCCGCGAGCCGACCATACGATCCAGGGCAGTCTGCAGAAATAAACTGAAATTCCAAGAAGAAGAGCCGGAATATGACGTGAGCATGAAGATGCGTGGAATGTCTGATTACGGACCGTTGGGATGAGCTACTCGAAAACAGTGAACAATTGGAGATCCGCCTTGATGGCTTCTATGGTGGTCCCAAACGTGCCACCGTGGCGAATGGTGGATGGATAAAAAAAAATCGCCGACAAGAAGATGAACCCAGCTCTGATTGGACCGCCAAATGTACCCTATCGTGTGATTGGACCGCTTAATGTGCAACAAGATTCTATGTCCTCAATTCGGGACACGTATGTTGTTTCAACGGTCCTGAAGAAAACACGGTTGGAAACACAAGATTCAAAAATCTAGTGACGTGTATTAATATACGTCCGCTCATTCAACCACCGCGATCCGTTTCCCGAAGCGTGCTGCTAAATTGAGCCGCTATAATGGTTGGGAAGCGCTTGAAATCATCATCTGCCGGAAGGAGAAGCTGGGGTAATGGTTTAGCGAATTGGCGAGAAGACAGGTAACTTCTGCCGTCAGCCGCTCCTTAGTAGCATTCCGAAACTGGGTTTCGCCAAGCCGTGTTGTTGTCAGAGGTCGAGTTGAGTTGAGTGGCAACGAAGGTTGCGAATGCTTTTCGGGCGTGGTGGTGACGACAAAATACAAAGTCATTCTGTGGATCTCCAGATTTGGAGGGTGTGGGAAAACAAATGGATGTCGGATGTGTGACGGAAGGTCGAATCGGGTTACATGTGGTATACTTTTAGCTCAGTGCGCTGGAAGTCGAATCCAAAACTGTCCCCGTATCAGTCAGTGCAGTTCAGAGAGTATTTACGAGGTCGAACGCGGTATATTAGTGTAACCACGACCACCGTAAAGCACCTGCAAAAACCATCGTTGCGTGAATCAGAAACAACTGTTCCCTGGGCACAATTCCGTTTGGCAGTTGAGAGTCTTCAATTTCTGCGGCGCATGGCCCGTGATGACGCCACCTTGGCCCGTTTGACTTCCCTTCAGGGCCCGGGTGCGGTAGCATGGGTATCCGCAGTTCCAGCACATGATGACACTACTTTCACCCCTGTTGAGTGGGGCATTTCAGAGGCAATCCGTTTAGGCCTTCCCGTCCACCAACTTCTGGTTGCTGGCAAGTGTGTGTGCGGTTTGGAGTTCAAGGACCCGTCAGATCCTCACCACGCTCTTCGCTGCAAGTACCAGTATGCCCCATCTCGTGTTCATTACGCAGTAAAGCTTGTAGTCGCTAAGATAGCCAAGGCGTCGGGTGGGGTGGTTACGATCGAGGACGACACGCTTCTGCCGGAGAAGAGAGTGGATGTGGCGGTTAGGAAGCCAATTGATGGAGAAAAACATGCGCTCGAAGTGAGCGTCGTGGATCCGGTTTCGCTACCAGTGCAGCAGCATGGGCAGTGTGGGCGGACAGTAGCTTTTGCAGCCAAGGAGCGAGAGAAGAGGAAGACGACGGATTATCATCATTTTCTGCAGCAGCACTGAGGGGTTTGTTTCTTTCCGTTGATTCTTGAGACTTGGGGCTGCTTGGGGGGAAGCTTCCGACAGTGGTTACGACAGCAGGTGGAGGTTCAACTAAAGGTGGCTCTTAACATGGGTGTGGGAAGGGGCAACAGCTCGGGTTTTTCGGAATACTTGGTTGGGTCTTTGTCAGCAGCGGTAGGGGTAGCTTTGCAGAGGGCACAGGCTCGGGTGATACTTTTGCGAGCGGCATACACGTTGGGTGAGTCCGAGGTGGACTGGGTAGAGCAAGGGGGTGAGGAGCAGGAGTTCGGGGAGGGAGCACCATGAGTGGACGTGCCATACTTGGTCGACATGCGGCTGTATGTCATAGAAAGCAAAACTTGGTTTGGGGTTTTGGTCTTGGTATTTTAGGTTCGAGATACTAAAACTTTCCTACGAAGGGTTTTACTAGAGCCATCCATCTACGCGGATTGGTTTATGTCGAAATCTTGTGTGTGTGCGTTATTTGTTTTTTGTTTTATTATTATTCTTTCGGAAAAAAAAAAAATCCCCAACTTCGTAGGAACCTCGAGGTGGTTCAAATCCCTATACGACATTGGGTTGCTTTCTACACTCGAAGGATGCTTGCTGAACAAAACGGATTTAGAGATAGGATAGGAAGGGATCATGGCTGCTTGGTATTCATACAGTAGCTTTTTTCTGTGATTTCTGGATGTTGATTAGGGTTAGGGTGCATTCATGTGTGGACACAAATGTCTCAATCCCCCTTTTCCTGAGTCGCGTCGAAACATTTTGTCAACCTAGCGTTAAAAAAAATTGAATGTATCGCGACACAAGGCGACCAAGCGAAATGTACAGTTGTGCTCTTTTGATTGGATTTTGGAAATGACTGTACACCCTTTTCTTCAAACGCCTGGCTGGGGTGTGGTTTCGATGCGCGGGATTTGTTTCCCGCGCGAAATTGGCTTTTGGGGGTGTTCAGGTGCATTGACATTTCGAACCGCGTGCGACTTTTTACCAGTGACGAGTCAATTTGCAACTCGTCCGCGACATCAGCGCGTTTCACACTGACCAATGAAAAATGCAATAACGGTCGCTAGAAGGAGATTCCGTTTGTGACATACTACGTTTTATGCTGTTTTTACGCGTCACAAAATGATTGAGACACAAATGTCCACACAGGAATGCACCCTTACTCATTACATCACTATTGATTGAAACATCTCGGGGAAAGTAGCACTATGACAGTTATCAAGTTCAATACATCTGCTGAGACATACGGTACCAAAAAACAGGATTAGTTAGAAACACAGCGATGGGATCACCCATGCAGTAAAACAGAAAGCAGCATAGCTACATGTGTGACTCAAAACACTAGATGAGAGAGGGAGACGACCATGAGTGCAGCCACCATAACGATAATCTCGGAGTGCCGCTGCAGCAAAGAACAAACGAAGCAGCTCATGACAAGCAGCACATCACGGGCAGAGAGACATTGCCGCACATGCGTGACTGCTGCTGCTCCAGCAGTGCTCGCAGCAGAGGCAGTGGAGGGTAATGAGTGTGCCTGGCAGAAGGTGAGAGACGCACACGTCACCAGACCCACTGCCAGCACAGGCAGCAGTGTCCTGCTCACTCCCCGGAAGCCCCATCGCCCTGCCCCTCTCTCTGTCCTCCGCTTCTTACAAGCTCTCTCCTTCCACCCCGCACTTGCCACTGCTTCCGCACAGGTATTCTGTACCAATTGTGCTGCTGTGACCACTTGAAATAAGTCTTCTCCATCGCTGCTGATGCTGCGGCCTTTGCTGCAGCACGGCTGAACGGTTCCTTTCTGGGGAATACCCCCACTGTCGCTCTCTGCTGCTGCTGCCTGGTCTCTAGCAGGCCCACAGCAACCCCTAGGAGGCATAGCAGACAGGAGCTTGGGCGCAGCTTGCTCTGCTGTGTGCTGAACCATACACATGGACTCTGCTGCTCCCATGGGTTCTTCCTTGTGCTGTGCCGATGACTCTTCTGTGGGAGAGTGATGAGGCTGCAAGAAGGGCAGATGCGATGCAGCGGCTTTTCCAGGAGGAGCGCAGCAGGAGGAGGCGAGAGGAGGTGGGGTGAGGGGGGTTGACGAGCAGCAGCAGGCTTGGGGGGAGGAGAGATGGGGGAGTGAGGAGGGGGAGGTGGATGGAGTTGGTGATGGGGATGGGGACGTGTGTGGGAGGAGAGTGGACGCACAGGCACAGCCACATCGGGAGGGCGTTTCGCCGTGCGATGAGGCTGCTGCTGGTTGTTGGGTGAAGATAGATGCGTTTGTGCCCCACCAGACAGCCTGCAATGCACAGATTCACAGATTTACACAACCAACCATGCAGCACGCATTATTCACAGGGTCACGATTTACAAACAGACAGAAAGGCAGACAAGACATAAAAGGCGAAAGGAAGAGAGACGAGAGAAAGAGAGGAGGGGCCACATGAGCAGGTGCGGTGGAGAACGTGTGGGTGAGGCAAAAAGAGAAGGAAGGACAATCACAGAGGTAGGTGGGTTTCGGTGACTGGGAATGAAGAGAACGGTGATGGATTGATGGGAGTGGGTGAGGACAGAGGGATAGAGAGTGGGGAAAAGATGGGAGGATAGAGGGATGGGTTGGGGCGGATGAGGGTGGGGAGGATGGGAAGGATGGGGGGAATGGGGAGGATGTTGGGGAATGAGAAGGAAGGGGAGGACGGGGAAATGGGCACCTCATGGGGGTGAAGGTACGCCTGCAGCAGGGCAGCAATCCTTGTTGCCGCAGCCCTCTGTGCGTCAGTGAGCCTCAGCTGCCCGCACCCACACGAGTTGGCCGGGGGCAGAGCCGCCAGGCGTGCAGCCACGTGCAGGGCCGTCACCCCTCCCGGCCCTGCTGCCACTGGCGACCACCAGGGGGGATTCGTTGCGATAGAGCATGGCTGGACGGATGAGGAGGAGGAGTAGGTGGAGGAAGGTCGGTGGTGGAGCGGCGGTGGTGCATGTGATGCTGCTGCTGTTGGGTCGGACGTTACACGCAGCAGCATTTGCTCCACGCCAACTGCGAATAATGAGCCTCCAGAACCGCTAGTGCTGCTCTCAATGCCTTCAACAGTGCTGCTGGTCGTTCTGTGCTCTCCGCGGCGGCCCATGTCTCCCCGGCCAAACCTCAGCAGCAGGGCCACCAGCGGTTCATTCCCCTGCGCCACTGCCACGTGCAGCAGAGACCACCCACTCGCTTCCTCCCACCCCACCGCCCTCACAACGCCCTCCATTGCCTCCCTGCTCGCACGAGCAGCAGCCACTGTAGCACCAGCAGCACCAGCGGTAGCACCAGCACCGGAAGCTGTGGCGGCGACATTAGCAGCAGCAGGAGGGGGCACAGAGGAGGGCGGCGAAGTGGCATGGGCAGCAGCAGCAATGATGGCGAGGCGGGCAGTCCAGTGCAGCAGAGCAGAGGACGTTGCGAGCAGCCCTTGGGTGACCGCATGGGAGAGCAGGCGGTGCATGCGAGTCACCTCATGCTGCACATTCATCACGGCCGCGGATGCTTGATGCAAGGGCAGGGTGAGCTTGCGTAGCACCCATCCCATGTCCTCCACCCACTCACTCACCACCGCCTCCTCCTCCTGCTCCTGCCTTTGCTGCTCCTGATCCTCCTCCTCCCGCTGCTGCTCCTGCTCCTGCTGCTCCCCCGTATCCATCTCACTGGCCCCATCCCTCATCACCTCATCACCTTCCTCCACATTCCCCTCCCCTGCATGGCTGCTCTCCCTTGCACTGCCCACATGCCTGCTCCCACCACAAGGCACTCTATTTCTTCCTACAAGCAACTCAGAGTCAGCAGCAGAAGCGGCAGGGGCGGCAGCAGGGCCAGCAGCAGGGGTGGCAGTTACATCAGTAGTACATGAGCCAAGACCGCATTTACAGTCGTGGCAGCGACACACACCACCCCATGTGAGCATCTCTGCAAGCCGAGACATGTCAGTGAACACTGCTGCTGCTGCTGCCGCTGCTGCTGCTGCTCCATGTGAAGGGGTGGACGAGGGAGGGGATGCATGGGGAAGAAGGCCGAGGAGGGAGGGTGGCGAGGCGGAGGGCGAGAGAAGGGAGTGCAGTTCGGTGCAGATGGGTGCAGGGGCCACGAGCAGGGGCAGCGGCTGAGACAACCCAGCTGACGTTTCCACCTGCCATGGACAACAGGAAGAGGGGATGAGTGGGACGTGAAGACAGGACGAGGGAAAGGAACTGAGGGGCCAAGGAAAAGAGTGCTGTTTGCTGCCTTGAGGGACACAGGGAGAAGGAAGCAGCATGGGCAGATGATGGTGGTAGGGTGGTGATGTTGGCAGTCGGAAAGAGGCAGGGTGCTGTGTGCTTTCTGATGAGCCAGAACCCACTCCCTGCCATACCTCAACACGAAGCGTGCCCCACGTGCTCAGAGGAGGAACTACCAAAGAAATCTCCTCTGCTCCCTCCTCCTCCTCCTCCTCTTCCGCTTCCTCCTCCTCCTCCTCCTCCTCCTCCTCCTCCTCCTCCTCCTCCTCCTCCTCCTCCTCCTCCTCCTCCTCCTCCTCCTCCTCCTCCTCCTCCTCCTCTCCCGCCAGCTGTCCCTTGTCCAGGATCTTCCCCCTCTCATCTGCATGGCTAAGCATGGCCCCATGGTGCGCTTGTGTTGCATGTGTGTGCGAGTCGGTGGCAGCGTTAACAAGGTAACGTCCGGCGAGAGAGCAGAGCAACCTGATTGATCGCAGAGCAGCACAGGCAGAGGGAAGGAAGGAAGCAGCGAGGTGGGGAAAAAGGAGGGGTTAGGAGAAGGCGGAGGGAGGATAAGGCGTAGAACTGAAGGTGCACGCACAATAGCTGGGAGAGGAGGAAGAGAAGGCAAGCATCTGCTTGAAGGCTGGTCCTACAGCTTTCAAGTCCATACATGAGCTTACGAGGGAGGGAGGCAGGCAGGCAGGCTGCAGCCCACCTGGTGGCGTCTAACCTTGCTGCAGCAGGCAGGTTTGACGCTCGCAGGACCAAACAGGAGGGCGCGGGGGAGAGTGGAAGTGCCAAGAGACCCCGCGGGCGATGGAGGAGAGGGGCGGATGGTGAGGGGTAAAGCTGTGTGGTGGCACGGATGACTCCTGAATGGTGGAATGAGGCGAGAGGGCGGGCGCGGCATAAAAGACATGAGGGTGTGGGGTGGGGTGAAAGAGAGGGTGGCACGGGATCAGGAGATGTGTATTTATAGGCGTCTAAAAAGGGGTTGTGACATGGAACGAGGAGATGTGAGTCAGAAGGGTGGGTGGGATGGCGAGTAAAAAAGCAGACAAAACAGAGCAGACACAGGCGTTGGCAGAAAAACAGGAGAGGTGTGGTATCGCATGTGTGCACTCATGCAACCATGGACTGATGCACCCATGTGCACCCATGCATCCATGCACCCATGCACTCATCTGCACCCATCCACCCATGTGCACCCCACTCGTGCACCCATGCACCCATGCATCCATGCGCCCATGCACCCATGCGTGCACTGACCATGGTCCACCAGCAGGCGCTGCTGCACGGTGTGCGACCCTAGCTGCACTGCCATGCACCCCACCGACCACCAAGTAGGCGAGGGCGGCGCGAGGGGGGAGGGAGGCGAAGGGGAGGAGGAACACGAGAAGTGGGGCGAGAGTGGTTGAGAGGGGTGGAGCAGTGTGTGGAGGAATGGGGAAGGGTGCTTCTCCATCTGTTGCGCACAGCACGGCGAGGGGCAAGAGGGAAAAAGGGTGGAAGAGGGAGGCGGAGCAGAGGAGGAGCGATAAGCAAGTAAGCACAGGTGGCAACACAGGCAGCAGAGCAGGAGGTGAATGACGATAGCAGAGGTGAGCAGGCGGGTACAGCGTACATGGTTGCCATAAAACAAGTGCTCTATTATCTTCTTTCCTTCAAGAATTGTCCGGCGTCCCTACGGGCTTCACCAGTGAACCGAAAGGGGCTTCATCTGCAGCAAGGCGGTTTCACCTGAGTCCACGCATGGTCAGGCAGGCGAGCGAAGAGAGTGAGGTGCGTGCAGCCCGGGCGAATGTACCCCTCCAAGTCCGATGGCATGCTCGATAGCCATTCCAGAATCTACTCCCGGATGGGGGTGGGGGCGGTCATGGAGGGAGGGGGGAAAGGGGGTTTGGGGGGAAGGGGGCTTTGGGTAAAGGGAGGGGGCAAGAGGTCATGTGGTGGCATCGCATCAGATGGCATCATGCTCTCCAGCGATTCCAGGCATGAGATGGCATGTATGTAAGGCGTGGTGGCGTGGCATGCATGAGATGACAATGTCATGCCTGAATGGGTGGGTGACAAAGGAGTAGGAGGCATCACACCTGGTGGCGAATGTGGCGGGGGAAGTCCCCTGGGTTCCAGTCGTAGAGCTTCAGAGAGATGCGTCCCGTGCGCTGCTCCTCCCCTGCTCTCACTCCTCCCGGCCGCTCCTCGCGCTGCACCACCCCCTCCCTCTGCTCGCCCTGCACTGATCCTTCCTTCGCCTCCCCTCCACTCTGCAACTCCTCCTGCTTCTCCATCCCCTGCCCTCGCACCTGTACCTGCTGCCGCTGCTGCTTCTGTTGTTGCGGCTGCGGCTGCTGTGGCATCAGCTCGGAAGGCTCCCCCTCATGACATCTGCTATCTCTGCCACCTCTCCTCACGCCATCCACTCCCACTTCTTTTCCGCTCCCTCCCTCCTCCACCTTCTTCCCCTCACCACCACCTTTCCCATTACAGCAGCATCCGTGCGCCACCACCCCTCCCAGCACTTTCAGATTCCTCTCAACCGCACTCCGCCCACTGCCATCTGCGCAAGTCAAGCAGGCTTCCATCCATGAAGCCAACCGCCCATCCTCGCCGGGACTCTGCCCTCCCTCCGACCTCCCCTCTTTCCGCCCCTCACTCTCCTCCCCCGACGCCTCATCCGCGCTCCTCCCCTCTTTCGTCCTCCCCACAGCGTCCCCATCAGAGGAGAGCGGAGAGACGGAGGGGGAGGCGCGCAGGGGCATGGGGAGGGGAGCAGAGCGGTCACGTGCGGACTTGCAGCAGCCTGCAGGCGCAGCCGTGGGAGCAGCGCACGCAGCAGCGGTAGGAGGAGCAGAAGGAGCAACAGAGGCAGGAGGAGCAGCGGGAGAAGATGGAGCAGCGGCAGTAGGAGGAGCAGGGGCAGGAGAGCCGGATTGGGCGCTTATGCTCATATCGCCTGCACCAGATAGCATCTCGTCGGCAGTGAATCCGCCCGCGCCCTTCACAACGGATGACTGGACCTCCTTCCCTGTGTTCGACTCACTCGTGCCCTGCACTGCACTGCCGCCTGCTGCCCCTGCACACGGGACGGCCTCCTGCTGCTGCTGCTGCTGCTGCTGCTGCTGATGGTGCTGGTGGTGGTGGTGATGCTGCTGCAGTGGCTGTCTCTCTGCTTCCTCCATCGGCCCTGATTGCGATTCCGACGGCACTGCTGCTGATGCTGCCGCCATTGCCTCTGATGCCGCTCCTGCCGTCGCCCCTGCTACACCTGCCCTTGCTCCTACTCCTGCTCCACCTCCTCGCGTTGCTCCTGCCGCGACTGCTCCGACCATGCGTGCTGCGTGCATTGCGCTCGCACCCATACCCGTGCCAGGCGCATGCCCATGTGCATGGCCAGGACCAGGAGCAGCATGCGCGCGCATGTACCCATGACCATGGGGCATGCCCATGCCTGGAAACACAGCCATGCCCACACCGGGACCCATGCTCATGCCCGGACCCATGGCACCCATGGCCATACCCATAGGCACGGGTGGCATGGCATGCTCACCCGGGATCCCCCCCATCGGATTTCCCATGTTCATGCCCATGCCTACCCCCATCCCCATCCCCATCCCCATGCCCATGGGCATGCCCATACCAGGCGGCATGCTCATTCCCACCCCTGGGCCCATACCCATCGGCATGCCATAAGGGGCCATCCCCATACCATACGGACCCATGCCCATGCCCATGCCCATCGCCATAGGCATGTTTCCCATACCCATCCCCATACCCATGCCCATGCTCATGGCCCCCATCCCCATACCCATGCCTTTATGAGGCCCCTGGGGACCTGCGGCACTAACCGGCAGCCCTACCACCCCCTGCATCGGCCCACTCCCCATCCCCGCGCAACCTTCCTTTCCAACTTCCCCGTGTTCTTTCCCCCCCGCCACCGAACCCCTCCCCTCCTTCCGCGGCTTCCCCGCAGCCCTCTCCCGCGCGCTACCCGCGCAGCTTCCGCCTGCGGCTTCTTGTCCCACCACCACGCCCGTCGACCCCTCACCCTCCCCGTCTCCCCCGCACTCCCTCTCCCCCTCCGCTCCGCGCGCCCGCTGCCTGCTGTTTGTCGCCGCGCCGTTCACAGGCACCCCTCCTGCTTCTGCCGCTGGCACAGCCGCTGTTGCTGGTATGCGCGTGCTGGCCGGTCGCTTCCCTGGTCTTGTCACAGCGGCCACAGCACTTACAGCACCCTCTGCCTGCTTTGCCTGCTCTGCAATAGCTGCTTCCCTTCCTTCTCGTTCTCCTGTTCCTCCTCCTGCTCCGCCTCCTCCTTCACATCCGCCGACACCGCTGGCCACGCGAGGCGGTGATGAGTTCTGCAAGTGCAGAGCGACGGCACTTGGCGCGAGGGACGACGCGTTGCCACAAGCACCGTTTACGTCGCTGCCAGCACCAACACCGGCAACAGCTACAGCAGCAGCAGCGGCGGAGGCAGCAGGAGGGAGAGGAGGAGGAGCAGCAGCAGGAGCAGTATTACCCGGAGCATCAGCGCGGCGAGCCCCCGCACGGTCCCGCAGAACTGGGAGCGACAGCAGGGGCGTGGGCGCACGTGTGGGGGAAACTGCGGAGGTTTGGCGCAAGGCGGAAGGGGGCGCAGGCGTAGGTGTGCGGGCGGGGCACACAGGGTCGAGGGTGGATTGAGGGGGAGGATCGGGGAAGGGGGGAACGGGTGTGAAGGAAAGAGGTCCAGCGAGGGGGGGAGTCGCGGGGGAAGGAGGAGGCGGTGCGAAACGAGCCAGTGGTGTGTTGGCAGGAGCCGTGCGCGTAGTAACAGCCGCAGTAGCAACAGCACCAGGTGGGTCAGCAGCAGCAGGAGAGGGAGCGACAGAAGGGAGGGAGTGACACAAGCGTCCGGCAGCACCACCGCTTCCTCCGCTACGCCACTCGCCTTCCACCTGATGCCGTTGCCCCATTCCTCCCCCCTCCTGCGCTCCGCCGTCCCCCTTCCCTCGGGCCTGCCCCAGCGCACCCCTCGCGCCCCCGGTGCCATTGCTGTCCCCAGAGTCGCTATGCATAGAAGCAGACGCGGACACGTCCGCGTTACGAGCGCCATGCGGCGAAACCGCGCCGTCCGCCACCAAAGACAGCTTCTGCTTCACCTCTTCCCCCGCCTCCCGAACCCCCATCCCCCTCGAGTTTCCTCCCCCTCCTCCGCCAAGGGCAATCCCGTCGCTCGCCCGCTCTCTTAATGCCCCTGCAACAACGTTCCGCTTAGTCTCCGCCTCCCCCGACGCCGCGCCGGTTTCTCCGCCAACGCCGTCGCATCCGCTTCCGCCACTGCTGCTTTTCTCCGGCGACGCGCCCTCGTCCGCGGTCGTGTTGGGCGGGGACGGCGGGAGGGGGAAAGCGGCGGGGGTGGGCGGCTTGAGCGCCTTGTGCTTTCGCAGGTTGTTGTGTCGCTGCAGCTTGCGACGGCAGCTGCGACGAGCCTCGTCGAAATCGCCGATAGGATGGAATCTGCGGGAGACGGTGGCGATAGGAATGAAGCCACGGTGGCGAAAGCAGACAGGAGAATCGAAAATGGGCGGCGAGAGGGGAGGTGGAATGGGCGGGGGGGCAGGTAGAGGCGGGGAAACGTACCGGCCGCATTGCTGGCAGTAGCGCTGAACAATGGCCTCGTGGACCACCGATCCCGCCTTGGCATGCGCCTCGCACACCCGATGCCGTTGATGATACTCGCGCAGGGTCGACAGCATCACATCACAGCCGTCCACTTGGCATCGAAGGTTACCCGACCCCCCGGTCGCCTGCGACCCCGCCGCTTCCACGTCTGCTCCGCGTTTCCGCGCGCCCTTATCCCCCTTGCGCCCCGACGACGCGCGCGCGCCTGGGAACGCCCCTCCGCGGCCGTGGAACCGCTGGCGCTTCACGGCGAGCTGCGCGTCGGCCTGCGTGCACTGGCAAGGCACCCTACCCGCTCTGAAATTAGGGCACTCGGAATCCGCCGCGGTTGGCGGCTGCTCCTTTCTCTTCGGGCCGAGCCCGGCCGTTTCTCCTACCTCTAACCCCTCGTCCTCGCCTGTAAGTAGCGCGAGGCCTCTACTGACGGCTAGATCGAGCTGCGGAAATATCCCCGCGGGGTTCGCAAGATCCGCGTCGGCGTTCTTAGCGGATAAGGCGTGCGCAGCGGATTCCAACAGGGAAGGGAATGCTTGCGAATGGGAGTCTAACGGGGATTCATGCTGCGACTCGTGGTGCGGTTGGGTATTAGACGGTGCAAGCGGAAAGTAGGAGGACTCGGTAGTCGATGTGGGGAGGCTCGTACCGGCGGGGTGAGGTAACAGCATAAGGCTGTCCCATTCCCAGGCGTTGGGGTCCCAGGCCGTGGCGCAATGAGTCCGATGGGCGGTTCCTGTGAGCTCCGCCTCTTCTAGGGCTTCCATTATATCGAACGGATGGCCATGGCCGAACGCTTCGGCCATGATCGTTGCTAAGAAAGAGACGATAAAGATAGGGATTGAAGGACATACGAGATTCTAAGCTAATGAGAGTCACGGATTTAGGGCTAAGGGAGCTGTTTCCGTATGAGACGGACGAATCCTAGTTGCTTGGAACGTCATGGTGGAGGAGAGAAACGTGTGGAAGCCACATATGCAGCTGCAGCTCGTTGGGAAGACTGTTCGTTAGATGGAGGAGACATGAGACCAGCCTTGATATCGTTTCCATCCGTACGCCTCCTCGTCCTCTTCCACGTAACACCTGGAATCTAGAGCCTAGACGGGGGAAGGGGAGAAGGTTGCTGTTGCTGTAACACACAACGCAACGTCAAGAGGCGGAAGTACTCCCATTTCCCCTTGTTGCTCCCCGAGTGTGCAGCGGGGAGGGTGATGTGCTGAAAAGGCGGAGAGAATCACCGAGTGGGGCATCATCTCTGACAACCTGCGCGTGGCTGACCCACAGCGTTCAGCCAATCACGAATAAGTTTGGATTATCATCATCGCAGAAAGGCGAGCGGAATCTGGAATCGGGTGGTGTGCGTCCCGCCAGTACTGTACACTAGAATGCCTTGGGCGGACGTGGCCTGTGGGCGGGTGTTTCCTGGGCGGAATGACCTCCGCCCAACGCGCAAACAGTGGCTCCACTTCTAGGCGTTGCGGTTGCGGTGCGAGGGGGTTAGTCTCACTCACTTTGGTTGGACGTGCGCGGAACCAAGACCTCTCAAACCGCCACTCAACCGGTCAAGGTCCCTTGATCTGCCTGCAAGGTGTCTAGGTGTCTAAACACCAACATTAACGAATTTGATTGTAAGGAAATTTCCATTTCCTTACGCCGCATCCCTCCTTAGCGCATACATCACTATAGCACCACGGTCAGCACCGTTACCACTCGCAACCCTCGCTTCGACAATCCTCCCGCCATCTTCGCACGTCGCACCCCGACCCCACGGCTTGGCGGGTAACCCACGATCCGGGCCTCCGCCTCGACATTCCCCAACCACAGTCCCAGCCTCAGTTCCAGGCCCGTCGCGCGTCACCCACAGTTCATTACCATTACCACGGTGGCCTTCGCTATTTAGTTCTCGCTCAATCCTTCGCTCATTGTACTGTTTGCTTCGATAGTGCAATTCTCGCTCGCTCGCTCATTGCACTCGTAACAGTGATACTTGTGCACAGAGATAATAATGCGTACACGGCTTTTTCTTACGGTCCACCATACGCATCTTCTATATATACATTTAAAGTGTGAAGGTACACTTTTCAAAATCTAGTGCACTCCCGATTGCTGTAAGGAAAATTCCTTGTCCTTACTTCGCGTCCCCGCTCAGCGCGTACACCACTGTAGCACCACAGTCAGCACCGTTACCACTCGCAACCCTCGCATCGACAATCCTCCCGCCACCTTCGCCCGTCGCACCCCGACCTCACGGTTCGGCGGGTAACACACGCTCCGGGCCTCCGCTTCGACATTTCCCCAACCTCAGTTCCAGGCCCGTCGCGCGTCAACCACAGTTCATTACCGTTACCACTGTAGTTTAGCTATATATCCTTCGCTCATGCCTTCGCTCATTGGACTCTTGCTTCGATAGTGCAATTCTCGTTCGATCACTCAATTGCACTCGTAACAATTGCACTGATCCACGCTCCCATTCAGATGTCCCAGATCAGGCTCAACGCATGATTCATACGCTTTCACAATGACCAAGTTCTCATCTCTTACCAGTAGTCGTGCGTAACATCACGTTGATTCCTATTCATTCCTACATGCTGATTCTCTTTCGTAATTAATTTCAACAAGGTCGAAAACTAATTATCTGTCGAGGAGCTTTCGATGTCCCTATGTCGTCGGTCCCTGCGGAAACACCTCCCTTAGATACCGTCGGTATGTCTGGTTTAACCGGCGACGGTTAACATGGAAGTAGGTCATAGTAATGAGTCATCTACCGATGGCCACGAACTTGTCTCGCAGCCGTCTCTCAGCGAAACAGCACCACCGCTCGTAGTGCTCTCTCGTAAGCACGCACGGCCACGACAGAGGCTCTCGCTGAGCTTGCCAGACACCCCCGCCATGGCCGAATTCACTCTCGCGACACTGACGCAGGAACAACTCGGCCGTCTCGTGCGCCAAGTCGAAGAATCGGCGCTCGAAATTGCGACACTCACGGCGGAACGTGACTCCGCGCGTCAGCAATCCACGGTGAATACTCCAGTGCCACCACACGCACCTTCAAATGCCCCTGCACAATCGGAGGAGCCGATCGTCATCTCATCAGGCACATCGACACAAAACGACGGCATGGGACAGCGCTCAGGCACAGCCAATGATGGCGCCGCCCACTCGATGCCTGGAATGGAGAGGAACAGGGTCGCGCCAAGTCCGCGGGAGCCTCGTGAAGCCCGTCGGAACGTGGAATTCGCATCGACAAGTGGCGACCACGCCATCATGGCACCAATGCCACTCAAGCCGCAACGCCCGCTCTGCTTCGACCCAAGCCAGCATGGAGGTCCGACGGTTCAATCGTGGGTCTTCACGATGAACGTCTTCTTCGACGCGAATTACGTCGAGTCGGACGCAGCGAAGATCCGATATGCCGTCTCGCTGCTGAGGGGCCCCGCCATGGACTGGTGGCGAGTCATCGTGATGTCGCCACGCGCCTACGAGCCGCCGTCGCAAGAGGAAGGGCCCACGGGTCCAGCCGTCACCTGGAGTCCATTCTGCGAAACCGCCCAGTACAGCACGTGGGATGCGTGGTGTGCAGGGCTTCGGGCGCGCTTCGAGCCGATCGCGGCTTCTATTTCGGCGCGTCAGAGACTGCGTACTTGGCGGCAGCTCGGGTCGGTTCAAGAATATGCGAGCGGTTTTCTCGCATTATGCGAGCAAGTCGGCTACATGTCAGATTTATATGACATAGCTACTGTAGGCTATAGCAGGGTAGCACATATGGGGTACAGTTTTCTAGGGTTTACATTTGTACCCAACTTTCCCTTAGTCAATTCATTCTCGTTCAGTTTCTCATGGTATCGAGCAGGTTCCCCTGTGGGAACTGTTCCTAGGGCCCACCACATTTTTTTTCCTGCCCGGAGCGCGCTCTCCACTGCCCGAGTCGCGCTCCCCTCTCTCGACCCTGTCGCGCCGCCTTAGCGGCCCCGTCGCGTCGCGCTTGCGGCCCCGTCGCGTCGCCCTCGCGGGCCCTTCACGTCGCGCCGCCCTAGCGGCCGCGTCGCGCCGCCCTCGCGGCCCCGATCCGCCGCCCTCGCGGCTCCTTCGTGTCGCGCCGCCCTCGCGGCCCTTTCACGCCGCCCTCGCGGCCCTTTCTAGCCGCCCTCGCGGCCCTTTCTAGCCGCCCTCGCGGCCTCTTCAAGCCGCCCTCGCGACCCCCCCCCTCCTAGCCGCCCTCGCGGCCCCGTCGCCTACCCCTGCGGCCCCGGCGCCGCCCTTCCCTGCCTCGGCGCCGCCTCTGCTGGCCCCGTCGCCTACCCCTGCGGCCCCGGAGCTGCCCTTCCCGGCCCCGGCGCCGCCTCTACTGGCCCCGACGCCGCTCCACCCGGCCCCGACGCCGCTCCACCCGGCCTCGCCGCCGCTCCACCCGGCCCCGCCGCCGTCCCCACGCGGCCCCGCCGTCACCACCGAGCCGCCGGCGCCGCCGAGCTACTGCCGAGCCGCCCGATCCACCCGAGCCGCCCGAGCCGCCGCGCCACCTGAGCCGCCCGAGCCGCCGGGTCGCCGAGCCGCCGAGCTGCAGTTGCTGCCGAACCGCCGTACCGCCGAGCCGCCCGAGCCGCCCGAGTCGCCGAGTCGCCGAGCCGCAGTTGCTGCCGAGCCGCCGTGCCGCCGAGTTGCCGACCCGCCGAGCCGCCGAGCCGCCCGAGCCGCCCTGTCCGGTAAGAGCAGCGCCTCTGTCACTGCACTGCCCTTACCCTACTATTCGCGCTGCTAGTCTACTGCTGTCATGGCTACCCCTAGTGTCCTCGCTTTTGACGCTGAGGGTCGGGCCATTGACTTTGACGTCTGGGTAGATGACCTGCAGCTTTTCCTACAGTGCGATAGGGAAGACGGTCTCTCCCTCTTTGACCTCACCTCTGGTGCCTCTCCTGCCCCTGCTGCTGATGCCGACGCCACTGTTCGCTCACAGTGGGCCACACGCGATGCTGCTGCACGTCTTGCTGTGCGTCGCCACCTGCCTACCTCTGAGCGTGCGCACTTTAGCCAGTACAAGAGTGCTCAGACCTTGTACGACGCTGTAGTTGCGCGCTACTCCTCCCCTGTCACTGCTGCACTGAGCCGCCTCATGCTACCGTACCTCTTCCCTGACCTTGCTGCCTTTCCCACAGTCTCTGACCTCATTACGCACCTCCGCACTAGTGACACTCGCTACCGCGCTGCGCTTCCTGCTGAATTCTGCGCCAAGAACCCCCCCCCCATGTACATCACCCTCTACTACATAGTCACCCGGCTCCCTGACTCCCTTCGCGTAGTCAGGGACCACTTCCTCTCAGTTTGCCCCACCACTCTCACCGTTGACCTCCTCGAGAAGGCCCTCCTAGCAGCAGAGAAGAGCATAGTCGCTGTAGGAGCCTCTCGTGGTGACCCTCGCACCCCCGTCTTTGAGGGGTGTTCCCCCTCCCCCCTTTTGCCCTCTGTTGCCTCTGCTGCTGCGGCCGACCTCGTTGGTTTCGAGTCGGTCGGCGCTGCGTCTGCCCCGAGCGGGAGACGCCGCACCGGCAAGGGCAAAGGGGGCAAGGGTGCTGGAGGGGTTGGCGGGGGTGGCGGAGGTGGCGGTGGAGGCAGTGGAGGGGGTGGGGGTGGTGGTGGGAGTGGTGGCGGGGGTGGAGGTGTCGGTGGCGGCAGT